ATTAAATGTTTGCAAATTAAGTTTAGAAACAGGTTTAGTAAATACATCAGCGGTGTTATGCGAAGATAGTACATATTCAAGATTTACCAAACCTCTCTCAGCTTCGGATCTGATAAAATGGTATTTTATATCTATATGCTTAGATCCTGTTGTTGTACAGGATTTTTAGCCAGTGCAATAGCCCCTTGATTGTCACAAAACTTATGTACCTCATGAAAATAACTTCAACCTGTCATACTATACATGTATATAACAGAAATGTATCACCTGCTAATGACCTGTACTCTGCTTCACAGGTACACAAAGCTACAGTGGCTTGTTTCCTACTTTTCCAAGATATCAATGGACCATTATTTGACAAATGAAAACATATATCCTGTAGTACTACGACGATCATCATGAGAACTTCCCCAGTCAGTATCACAAAACCTACCAAGGAAAACTCACAAGATGACTTTCTGAACACTAAATTCTGATCTACAGCCCCTTTCAAATATCTTAGAACATGCTTTGCCATTGCATAATGAGCACACTTTGACATGTTGAGATAGTTTTGTCAAAATATAACATAAATTTGGTCTAGTAACTGTCATAACATATATAAAACTACCAACAATTTCCCTGTACAATCTGACATCAGCAAAATCAGAATCCTCAATTACCTTATTTATCTCTGTCTCACATGGGGTGGTCCTGGGTTTACAATCCTGCATACGAAATCTTGGCAAAATCTTATCAATATACCCAGACTGGTTTATTTGAATAATATTACCTTCATGAATAAACTGAAAGCCTAAAACCGATTTATTTTTCCCAGATCTTTCATCTAAAATAATTTTGAACTCAAGCACATTTTGATGAAGTGTAGAGTGGTGTTTTGTGTCTATAATTATATTATCAACCCATACAATCATAATTGTCATCTTATTATTAGTATGTGTAGTATATACACAATTAACTTCTAAAGACTGAACAAAACCTTGGCTAGTTTATGTCACATATTGTTCGAATTTCGTCCACTTTGTTTTAAGCCATATAGTTATTTCTTAAGTTTACACTCCAATTTTTCATCATTTTTCTGTAACAAACCTTTCGGGTTGTTCTATGTAAAATTCACAATCTATTGGCGCATTCACATAATTATGCTGTTTTGGCATACATTTGGTGAACTACTAAATCATTCTGGACAGCTAGTTGCATCAAAGTTCTAACTGATTTAATACGAACTGTAGGTGAAAATGTTTCATGGTAATCTATATCCAGTAGTTGTGAATAACCTTTCGCAAAAAAACGAGCCTTATAGTTTTCTTCAATATTTGAACCAAGTTTCAAAGCTTACACCCATCTACCTCCCACCACCTTCTGTCTTCTGGCAGTGGAGTAACTTCAAATGTTTCGTTCTCTCACAAAGCATCTATCTCATCTGTCATGGCCTTTTTCCAATGGTATGGACTTGGAGAATAAATAGCATCCTGGTATGTCTGAGGTACTTCTGCTAATCTACAACAACAATCAATAGAATAAATTCTTTAATGGCATTCATCTTGTACATAATAATCATTCAGGTATCTAGTTATTGCATCTCGTCCTATACCGGAGTATCTATTTGGTTCAGGTAAATTTTGGTTCCTATCATCACCATTATTATTATTTTGTCATATGTTGACCTAATCACCTACATTTTGTGGTGCCTCATTCTCACCACTTCCATCTTCTGGTGTGGTTTCCTCAGGCTTCCAGTTCAAAATATCATCATGGTAATTTCTACCATGCACACTAATAGTGTCATTAGTAGCCCTGATAAATTTTACACATCTGACTATCTCATATCCAACAAAAATTCCTTTTTGACACCTAACATCTACTTTCGTTTTCTTTTGGACATATGCGTAATAAATAGTACCCATCTGCATGACATCCGGTCTTTCACCTAAAAAAAAGCTTCATAGACAGTTTTCCGAATCCCATTATTATTATTACACCTATTTCGGATGTAGGCTGCTGTCATTAAGAATTGTTTCTCTGTCACACGTCAGTGCGTAA